CACCCCCTCCTCCGCCACCTTTAACTGTTCCCTATCTGAGTACTGTCTTTGCTAATATCGCTTTCTTCAATCTTTTCTATCTATTCTTTCCTACTTTCACATTGAAGGAATATGTATTTTTTTAACTCTTCTTATATAGTTGACACATATAGCTTAATTCCTACAGCGTTATGCCTGTAGGCCTCAATGTTGATTTATATTGCCACCATCTGAAATCCTGTGACATCACTCCTTTGCTCTTGGCTTGATAGTATATAGCTTTTAATGTACCATAGCACAGTCACATTTATTGTTTGGTCTACACTCATTAGGATTGATTTACTAATGGCGAGTATGCATGTTCACTTTTCAAGGGAATTTTTGCTTAATTTATTGAATGTGGTGAAAATTCACTTTGAAAAGAATACCCAATCACGTGCAAGAAAAACATTTTTGTTTGTACATGATCGAGTGATTTAAGCCAACAGAGCTTCACCTTATTTAGTAAGCTACTGGGAAGTTCTCTTGCAAAGTGAACAGCCTATTTTGCTTTAGTAAATCATCCACATTGTATTTTGACTTCTATTGCCTTCATGTGTACTGACTTTATTTAATTTTATTAGGCTCCTCTGGCCCACTTTGTAATTTTTTTCCTTAACAAAGCTGTGGTTATAGAAATAAGCTTTGCTCTTTACCCAGGAGCTTCCCCAGGACTAATGAGGCTACTCAAATGACTACACACTACAAAACATGTCCAGTTGAAGGTAACAAACAGCTACTGGGTATACCAAGATCCAGATAAATGAGAACCATCACAGACTACAGGTCTGTTGTTTCCAGCTAGTGTTGATATGAGTATAAAATAGGCTTCCCCCTCTACATGGATAATTGCATACCATACATACAAACAAGGCTTTTACAACATGAAAACACACAAATAAGATTACATTAAAGGCTAAATTCACCTTTTTCATAAAAGCAGGGATTTTATTCTCAGAGAATAGGTGCAGGTACTCCCCCCTTCTGAGTCATCCCTGCCCCCTACCCACCTCCAAGCACGAGGCCTTGGCTCTACCCACTACCTTCTAGTACTGCCCCTTTTTAAAGAATACAGAACCATGGTTTTAGGGTGCTAAGTAATTTGCATTCATTGTAATTTGTATCCCATCAACAAAAGATTCTCCCCGGGAACGATAGACCCCCCAAGCAATAATAGATATTCCAGCAACAATAGACCTCTGCCAGTGTTACAGGATTATTGGTGATCTGAGTGTGAGGTATGAGAAAGATGCAGCTTGCAGTATCTGTATCAAAGAAGAGAGCACAAACGTGTTGCTCACTTGCATTCCAAGTTTAATGTACTAAACAGAAATGGATCACATTATACAGATAATTAAGTGCAGGCCACATGGAAAAGAGCATCAATTTGTATAAGAAAATTACAGTATCATTACTAATATATAGGATACTAAACAGAGAAAGTGAGAAACACAAAACTGAATAAAGATAGCATAAACCAAGTGTCACTAACCTGTATCAAAGAGGAGAGCACTTGCATTCTGAGTTTAATGTGAGCTTGTTGGTAATAGTCTCCTGAAGTCACAGTACAAATCATTAGAGCTCCCTGTAGCTGAAGATAGGAATAGCATCACTGGGAGGTTTATTCAGGGGCGGACTGACCGAGGGCCCGGGATCATTAGGGGGCTCCATGAAATGCCCCTGGTACCTTTTTTATGGGCAAGGACACAGGGGTCCTATGATCCCCTATTGTCCGGGGGCCCTATGAGTTGTCTGTACGCCCCTGGGTTTATTCATTTACTTCCTACACCAACAACAATAGATCTCCTAGAAGCCAGCATCAACAGACCCTCTAGCAGCCAGCAACAATTGTCCTTTCCCTGAACAGTAGATCCATCCCAGCAACATGCAACAATTTATTCCCCATCAGCAACAATACAGCTGCCCAGCAACAATAGACCCTCGTACAGATGTAGATCCCGTCAGTAACAATAGATCTCCCAGCAGACATCAACAATAGACCCTCCAGAACACCCCATCACCCCCTGCCATTACATACAATCAGCGCTGGATGTGCTGAAACTGTGTTCCCTCACATTCTTCCTGAAAAAAAGGTCCTGCATGAAAGTGAATGCGAAGACAATGAGTCCCAGTAGGTTAAAAAAATATATTGATTAAAGAATGTAGTGCTACCCACTTGAGGGCCACTGGTTTTGGGCCCCCCTACTTTCCTAAACAGCCAGGCAACATGCATTTTCCACTCTTGCATCCAAAGTCAGTGATCAGTTCATGAGCTTGTTTTTGTTGTTTAATTGATGGTTAAACAACTTGGAAGGGGTTCTGGGTTTATATGGGATGCCCAATTGAACTGAAACAACACGGAGGTCAAAATTATTATGTACAAAAAAGCAAAAAAATCTATCCTGGACTTTCTACTCCCGCTGGAGTGGCTCTTATCTCTTAATTGATCAGCACACAGTCCTTTCCAGGAGCACTCAATTCCCTTAAATGAACTTCTTCAGACCCCAGATAACAAATCTCCTCAACTACCCGGCTGTCGTGAAAAGTATATCCCAGGGCAAGGAATTCTGAGGCACATGAGAATGCTGTCCCAGGGAGAACTAGTTGGGTAATGCATCTGACTGTCCTCTCCCTTGTATGCCCAGGGGGTGTAAAGGTACTCACACTGTCCTGTTCCTGTAGATTTAAAAGGTGAAGCTGCTTTCAGGCCTTACGCTGGGCTGGTTTCTTCCCCTGCTGACAGGCTGTCCTTCCCTGTAGACTGTGGAACAGTGGAGATCCCTCTTTTTAGCTCCCAGCCTGTAGGTAGACCCTCTTTCCATGGGTTTGCTCCCAGGCTCCACACCAGCAGCACTTCCTTGCTCCATCTTCCACCCGGCTCCCCGGCTGGCCAGGCTCTCTCCCCTGCTGGCCAGGCTCTCACTCATGGGCTGATCTCCCACACTGCCAGACCTACTACCTGGGACTGGCCAGATTCCCACAAATATGCAGAACAACCCCTCCTCACCTCTGTCTACTAGACTCTAGAAACTTTTCCAAATCTCTAGAGCAGGGGGAGGCACCAGAGGACAACCCGTAGAGCCATTCAGCCCCAACCTGAAGTAACCTTGCTGACTTGCACCCAGGCTGACTCATGCCCATGGCTTCCGTACACAAAAAAAAAACTGTCTGCACTAGAGGGCGCTACATGTATATGCCATACCTGTAGTCATTTGCGGCACCCCTTACGTTTAACTGAAAACCTCCCATACAGTTATCATTCCCCTGTCCTCCTGAGTTGCTAGGACAGTCCATACTTTGGACACCCTTTCCAAGCTTTAGTGGAACAAGTGAATTTCCTGGTTAAAAGTTGCACATGTATAGTGCGCTCCTTTTACCTTTGTTGCAGCAAGGTGCTGTGATCAGGGAGAAAAAGAGATTTGTGATATGGGAAAATAAAACTGATGTAGAGGAGGGAGAGAGAGATATGTGATTTGGAAGTGGGCATCTATTGTATGGAGCAAAGAAGGACACCAATGCTGGGTGAAATTATTGCTCCCATTGACGATGACCAATGATGGGGCTTTTTGATCATTTCACTTTCTCTTCGGTGTCCCACCAGGCCCTATTTGTCTAAAATATAGAAAGGTAAAGGAAGGAAGTAGCAATACTGCAAGCTGCAAGCTGTGAACCCACTCTTCGCCATGCCTACAGGTGTTCAGGGGGAGAACACTGCACTTTTTTTTAGTTTCAGGGGTGTAGTTCCTTAGTCCTCATGCACATTGGACGTTTTTACAGCTGCTATTTTTGGCTTTTGACATTTTTTTCTACAGCCAATAAACTCCCCGGCATGTTATTCAATGTGTCCATCCACAGATAGGCTGTAATCAGTGTTTTTTGGCAGGGGCGTCTGGAAAAAAAACCCCAGAACTAGTAGGTTTCTAGAGGAGTAAAAACGCTCAAACACCATTAAATGCGGCAAAAAGTGGCAGCATGCGGTTTTTAGCATTTTTAAGGGGAAAAAAATGTTCTCATCTTGGTGTCCATTCTTGTTAGTCTGGGTTGGAGCCTCCCCAGAAGGTCGTCAAAAGATGTGATGGACATGTGTGTTAAGTTATAAAATTTGTCTGAATAATTACGTAGTCCAGCATACATGTTGGTAAAATATCAAGTGGATAGATATTCGATGGGATAACAAAGGATGGGTCCAGAATCGTCGTTGATGTCTACTTCTCTCCTCCTGCTGTCTCTGTCTCCTCACCATCCTTAACAGAATCAGTAGCATAAGGTCATCCACTTTTTGCATAATCTAGGATCCATAATGGACGCAGCAAGAAAAAAGGCTACTGAAAGCACAACATGCTTCTCTATACGATCTTTATCTCTTCCTGCTCCCAAAATGGTGACAATATAACTACACAATGACCAATTTTGTATTTTGGGAGTTTACAAATAAAAAAGTCATATTTTTCAGCTTAAAAACGCTAAAAAATGCTAATGCAGAAAAATGTGGATAAACGCTATGCAAAAACGCTGAAAAACACAGAAAAACTCACTTTTTTAACGCAACTGTAACCAGCTAACGTTACCAGCTTTCGGCAAACATTCAGTGTGCTCTTTTGCATTGTTCGGTCTCATGTCTCTCATCTTTTTCTTGGCAATGCCCCATAGATTCTCTATGGGGTTCAGGTCAGGCTAGTTTGCTGGCCAATCAAGCACAGTAATCCCACGGTCATTGAACCAGGTTTTGGTGCTTTTGGCATTGTGGGCAGGTGCTAAGCCTTGCTGGAAAATGAAGTCCGCTTCCCCATAAAGCTCGTCTGCGGAAGGAAGCATGAAGTGTTCCAAAATCTCTGTCAAGAATGGACTGGCCAGCAATGGTGGGACTCACCTGCCTTTTGATCTGCAGTACCAGGGCTGGCCAGCGGGTGCTCCCAGCAATCAGAGACTCAACCTTTCAGCCAGCTAACACCTGGAACTGATGATACTGGTGTATTTAAGGGATGGCCAGACTTGCAGACTCTGCCTTGGTGTTGTGTTTGTCCTGGGCCCTGTATCTGTCCTGCATCCTGTTTCTGTTCCTTTGCTGACCCTGCCTGATCTGAACCGCTGCTGACTTCTCCTGCTCTGATCCCGGCTCGCTCCTGACCATCCCTCTGCCTGACCCTCTGTACCACGCTGCTTGCTACCTGTTCTGATCCCTGGCTTGTGACCCTGACCATCCCTCTGCCTGACCCTCTGTACCACGCTGCTTGCTACCTGTTCTGATCCCTGGCTTGTGACCCTGACCATCCCTCTGCCTGACCCTCTGTACTACGCTGCTAGCTACCTGCTTAACCTGGCCTGTGACCCCGACCCATCTCCGCTTGCTCCCCCTGTACCTACCTGCCCTATTGATATTGACCCGGCCTGCCTGACGACGCTTGCTTGTATGTACTGTTATCTGTGGGTGGTTGGTTTGGTTTGTTTGCACTGTATTATGTTTTAGTATTGCACTGCGTTTATGTTTGTATGGTTAGTGTTAATAAATTATATTGTTTATCACATATCTGAAGTCTGCGTTTCCCTGCGTCAGTCACACACCTCTGGTCACACCTGGGAGCCCTGACAATCTCCTGGTAGACGGCTGCATTGACCCTGGACTTAATGAAGCACAGTGGACCAACACCAGCAGATGACATGGCTCTCCAAATCAACACGGACTGTGGAAACTTCACACTAGACTTCAAGCATCTTGCAGTGTGTGCCTCTCCATTCTTCCTCCATACTCTGGGTACTTGGTTTCCAAATGAGATGCAAAAGTTGCTCTCATCAGAAAAGAGGACTTTTCTTTTTCTTTAGCACAGGTAAGATGCTTCTGATATTGTTTATTGTTCAGGAGCGGCTTGACAAGAGGAATACGATATTTGAAGCCCATGTCCAGGATCCATCTCTGTGTGTGGTGGCTCTTGATGCACTGACTCCAGCCTCAGTCCACTCCTTGTGAAAGTCCCCAACACTTTTGAATGGCCTTTTCCTGACAATCCTCTCCAGGCTGCGGTCATCCCTGCTGCTTGTGCACCTTTTTCTTCCACACTTTTCCCTTCCACATCATTTTCTATTAATGTGCTTTGATACAGCACTTTGGGAACATCCAACTTCTTTTGCAATTACCTTTTTGAGGCTTTCCCTCCTTGTGGAGGGTGTCAACGATGGTTTTCTGCACAACTGTCAGGTCAGCAGTCTTTCCCATGATTGTGATTCCTACTGAACCAGACTGAGAGACCATTTAAAGGCTCAGGAACCCTTTGCAGGTGTTATGGCTTAATTATCTGATTAGAGTGGGACACTTTGAGCCGAGAATATTGCACCTTTTCACAATATTCTCATTTTCTGAGATTGTGGATTTGGGGTTTTCATGAGCTGTAAGCCATAATCATCACAATTATGACAAAATCACGGCTTGAACTATCTTGCTTTGCATGTAATAAGTCTATCTCATATATTAGTTTCACCTTTTAAGCTGCATTACTGAAATAAATGAACTTTTGCACGATATTCTAATTTTTCGAGTTTCACCTGTATATTGCAACTCACCAGTTCATATATGTGGTGGCTGCATCAATTTTCTTTAGACTTTTTTCTTCTTAACTGGTGATTTGGCACACTTCCTATCTTATGGTGTCTGCACTCTGGATGGGAGAGCAGTGAAGGCTCTTTTAAGCTTTTTTTCCTTTGTGTTACCTGTTGATCTGTTATTTTTTCAACTACCTTTAGCACAGGGGTACCCAAACCTCCAGACCATGGACTGGTACCGGTTTGCTGTCTGCTGATGACCAGGCCACACAGCAGGAGGTGAGCGTTGACCGTGGTCTGGACAAGACTATCACAGATCACAGTCACGACTCATCTCCTGCTGTGTACAGTGCCCCTTTATAGTGCAGTCCCCTTCACATTACACTGCAGTCCCCTTCACATCGCAGTGCTCCTTTACAGTGCAGTCCCCTTCATATTACAGTGCAGTCCCCTTCCCATCACATCCCTCCATTTACAGTGCAGTCCATGTTACATTATTGTAAAGGGGACTCCCACTGTAAAGGGGCAGTGCGATATAAAGGGGACTGCACTGTAAAGGGGCACTATAGTGTTAAGGGGAGCTGTGACATGATGGGGAACTGAGGACACTGTGGGACTGCTTTAATGTGAAAACTGTGATGTAAAGGGGGACTATTAACACTAATATAAAGGGGGGCTGTGTTATAAAGAGAAATAGTGGTGTGAAGGGGGGGCTGAGGACCGACTCTGTGAATATCCAGTCACCAACCGCCGACATCACCCCCCTCAGTCCCTGGAAAAACTGGCTGTCACGAAACTGGTCTCTGGTGCAAAAAAGGTTGTGGACCGTGCTTTAGCAGACTGAGCTGCCCAGCAAAAGTGCCAGTTAGAGGATTGAGACAAACCATTTATCACTGACAAGAGTGCTTACAAAGTTCAGTTTTTGTTCATTTATGTAAAACCTTTATTCCAAAAGGAAAACAACTATTGCTGTAACTGCTTAAAAAGTTTTTGCAAGAGTTCAGCTTTAAAGTGGTTGTAAAGGCTAAAGGTTTTTTAACCTAATGCATTCTATGCATTAAGGTAAAAAAAACGTTTTCTATGAAACAGTGACCCCAGCCCCCCCTAAAACTCACCTAAGCCCCCTCTCCAGTGGTGTATTTACGGTTTGTGCTGCCCTAGGCAACAAAAAATTGTCTGCCCCACAGACACCAACCAACACCATCCTCCCAGGGAGAAAGCCTAACATTGACCAACAATACCCCTGCCCCCCACATAGAAGAGCCTTCCACCTCCCCCATGATAAAAAGAAAGACACTCATCTTCACAGCCTCAGACATTCCCGGCAGCCCGCAGCTTCTCTCAGATCCCACCTGGTTCCTATGGCTTGCATGTCCCTTCTTTCATCCCTTCTTCTGGGGGGGGAGCTGCCCCCCTGAAAAATGCCGCCCTAGGCAAGCGCCTTGTTTGCCTTGTGGTAAATATGCCCCTGCCCCTCTCGATTCAGCGTTGTGCACTGGAGTCATGGCAATCCCGGGACTCCCTCTCCTCATTCGCTGAGACAGAAGCAGGAGCTGTTGGCTCCGCTGCTATGATTGACAGCTCTTCAGGAGCCATTGGCTCTGCTGCTGTCAATCACAGCCAGTGAGCTAATTTAGAGGAGAAAGGGGGTGCGGCCGAGCTGCTAATGGACACATGAAGCAGTGGGTGCCCCCATAGCAAGCTGCTTGCTGGGGGGGCACCAAACAGGAGGGAGGAGCTAGGAGAGCCGGTGGGGGACCCAAGAAGAGGAGGATCCAGGCAGCTCTGTGCAAAACCACTACACACAGCAGGTAAGAATGATGTGTTTGTTATTAAAAAAAAAATAATCCTTTAATATCACTTTAATTAGTTTGTTTTTTTGTTTGTTAATCAATTCCATCTCAATCTGAAGCCAGCCATAAATTATGCAAATTCACACGTCAGTGGCGTCACAGCTGGCCACGCACATCGGCTCCACGCACCCAGTCCCAGTAAGGACACAGAGCACCACGCCACTTTCCAGTGCAGACCAATTACCACGGTGCACTCTCCAGGACGCAGAGCATTGCCGTTGGGGGTCCTGATACAGTGGCTGCCATATGGACTCCAAGCACGGAACTGTGAAATAGGAATTGATCAATTCCCCCTGATGAAGCCACATGACCCGGTAGTGTAACACATAGGGGAGGGGCTCTGACATTACGATGCTTAAAGGCAACTACACAGCAAGTATATGGGAGTGTGGCAGACATAATAAAGATCCTGCAAATTTGTAAAAAAAGCGATTTTAATTTATGTACTATGTGAGTGCACTACATTTATTTAATACATTTTTTAAAAAGAAGATAAGGCACTATATTCTCTTTTTAATTACATGGTATATACACACATGGAGGAAAACGTTTGAAAGGAGTGAAGAGACCCCCTAGTGGGAAGAGGGATAACTCCATCCATGCATCCACCTCTGTGAAAAAGGGTCCCTAGGAAACGGTGAGACCCCCTTCTGGGAAAAAGGAAAAACTCCATTCATCCATCCATCCATCTGGGATACAGGGATTTATCCATTTGTTCACCTCTGAACCCAATTAAAGGGACACAAGCTTATATGACCTCACTTAACGGTTTGGTTATATACGTCAGGTGAGAGCACAACTGGTGAAGGAGCACATTATTTAAGAATTGGTGGACTATATTTTTTTTGTAATACACCATTAGAAGACACTACAATATCAAATATTTTTCAAAGATATGCATGGAGCACCAGCGTGATTGCTATATCACGCCGTGGAAATATATCAGGACTCAGTCACTTGTTATAATTTATTTAATTAATTATTTAATATAATTTTATCTATATATTTATCTGTTCCTTTAAATGTACTGATATTGGAGCGCGACACCAGTGGTTTGGATTTATTTAGACACACTGGTATGAGTATGTGTATAGTGTAGACGACTAACTTTTTTATTTAATAATTTACTTATTTACGTAATCATCTGTACACTAGCTTAATTGATATAATTTATGGCACATATACCCAACATACGGTGATATTTAAATAACCCGTTGGACTTTTTATACATACATTCACCTAAAGTATACACCATAGTAGCTCACAAGAATCACATTTATTACTTTGCAGTATCCATTGTCCCTCTGTGAGCCTCACTAGACTACTACTGTATGACACACACTGAGGCAGGGGCGGACTGACTATTTGGAAACTCGGGCACTGCCCGAGGGCCCGGGGTCAGTAGGGAGCACCATGAGATGCCCCTGGTACCTTTTTCATAGGCTTTTTTGAGTTTGGGCAAGGACACAGGTACCCTATGATCCCGTATTGCCCGGGGGCCCCATGAGTTGTCAGTCCACCCTCACTGAGGTTGTGTATATTGACCTCAGTGATTGGCCTAAGGGGCCACATACTATCTGGGCTGCATCTAGTGCCTAATCCACTGCTACTTTGCTACATGTATATACATGCAGACTTCACTCACTGATATTGGAATCAGGTTTATTTTCACTAAGTGACCTTTCCCTAGTTGGGCCTCTGTTTCTGTCACAGTAGAGGTTACACCTGTTCTAACATCATATTGAATATTGGTCTTCCAGCACTGTTATTGCATCTCTCCCATCACTATATGTATCCTCATTTTGGTGGTACACCCCGATGTGTTTGTTGCATGAGCAAAAGACCCTCGAGTCATTGCTTTTACAGCATATTATTGTATTTGGCCTAGCCATGATGTCTCTCTTTTTTATTTTTTGGTTTTAGCCTGTTTTTGTACTTTCCATGATTGAGGTGATGGCTACCTTGCAGTCTTTACTCAATTGTCTCATATTGCTATTTTGCTAATAAAAGCATTATTTGATTACATTTAAGAGTATCGCATTGTTCTTTATGTAACTGCTTTTCTCCTGTGAGCAATCTG